ATACTGTCTGTTTTTTTAATTTTTTAATTTATATAATATACATAAATTTTATAATGACGCACTTCGGTAAAATATTTTCTGTTTTTTAATATAATTTTGTGTAACGATATAAAATATATGAATTACGAATTATACGTATACTTTAAATTATTAACATATTGGCAATCAATAAATTTTTGAAAAAAAAAACGGTAGGGAGCCAATTCAAAGGTACTAAGTAAGGGTAAAATATTGACTACCTGTATTGGGGAGCCAATTCAGTTGCTCCGACTACAAATACGGGTGCTACGTCCTTTTAACTGATTATTTTTAGTTTTATCTAATCAAATAAAATACGCAGACAGCATGCTAAATAGTTTAAAATAAAAATAGAAGCGAATAGAATCTATATACATATATATAGTGTATCATCACCTGTCCTCGAGATACGGTCACGTTAGTGTCCAGGTTGCCGTAGTTAATGTACGAATTACACGATTCGTTAAATTTCAGTCTTATGTTCACGATGCCATCGTCAGAATGCGGTGTGTACTTGAATTTGGCCGAGCCCAATGGATCGATATCTACCAATGGCAGTGACGAATTTAACACACGGACGTTACAATCGAATCCATTATATACAACGAATTGTCCTTCGGCAGTAGGTATAGCAGTACTGTTGCCCTTGAAGGAGAATCGGTAAAATTAAATTAGGTATATAATTTTAATAACATTTGTCCGGGTATTCCGCGATATTGTCAAGTTTCGACAACTCGAATCTTAAAGGGCGAGAAAAAAATTCCGAGTTATCGAGATTCGGCTGAATTTATTATAATATTATCACTATTATTGTTATTATTATTATTATTATTATCATCGTGTAATTCGTGCGGGTGGATCGTCAACAGTGGTACTCACGAATATTTTATACTGGAGAATGGCGGCGAACAGAAAGGCTATCACCGCCATCGAGTTGCTGAATATGAGCTTTTGCAACGGCCGTCGGATGCCGAATTTCGCCAGGAACGGGTACAGGACGCGGTCGAACGACAGGATCAACAAGAGTGCGAGCAGTGGGTGAATGGTTTGCATCTGGTCGGGTTTGATCTCCCAACCGATGCCGTCCAACTTGCCGTCCATCAACGTCGCTTGCAACGTCCACCGTGAACCCTGTAACCGAATACCGAAAACATAACCACGGTATCAGTGGTACCGGACGCCGCGCACGTTCGTGTGCCGAAATCGGCGACTCACTTGTTGTTCGTAGAGCGCCCAAAACACCGGATAAGCGATGAATGTGTACAGCACTTCCAGCGCTGCTTTCGTGTCGGATACTTCGGTTTTCGAGTATTTGTTGCCTGCGAGATCCAGCCAATGATGAGCTTCGATGGAAGGCGACGAAAAGATTTTTTTTCGTACACCGCACTTAGCAACAACATAAACAAATACAGTGTCAGTATTGAGTTACGGATGTGTAAACGGCGCTCATACAATACGTATATATATATATAATATACCTATATACTTACAAATATGCACCCGAAAGTCTTGAAGATCACATGATTCTCCGGTTTCCTTTTCACGTACAATTTTCTTCCGAGAATAAAAATAACTGAAAAGTTTTGACATTGTATGGTGTTTTTCAAACAAAATAAATATATATTATGTATTTCAAAACTACCAATCTATATATATAAAAAAATAATATAATTTGGCGACCAGTTTATTATTGATATTTTAGAATATTTTCAAATATCTTAAAATGTAGTATCAATATTACGAAAATGTAGGGTAACATTGGGTGAGTGTAAAATTTCCCTCGTGATTTTATATAAATTCGATAACTATTACCTATTGCCGATATCATGAGCAGTGATAGAACGCCAAAGGCCAGCGGAAAACACGTGTCCCTGCCAAAACACTGTGTGCTTTTCCGTAGCTCGGGTGCTATAAACGTGGATATCAACGATCCAACATAAATTGCAGTTATGAATCTGCTGAAAAACTGGCCAAGTTGATGTTGTTGCTCTGGCAATTGGAATTGATCGCCACCGAGCGTGGAAGCACACGGTTTTATKCCACCCGTTCCCACTGCAATACATATTAGACCGACGATGGCAATGATTCTATTTAACATAAATCAATCAATCACTGTAGTATTATTTCCTTTGAATTTTAAATGTGTTTTTGAAAAGAACATTATGGAACAGCAATCTTTGAGTGTATCTGCTCGTCAATCGTCATCACAACTCATAATATTGATGGAATTAAGAGTAATTTCACTCGTAATTGATTTCTCAGTCTTAATACTGTATAATACACAATAAAAACTATTTTTCGTAGGATAATTATACTCTTTCTGTGTTTATAGTAGAATTACCGAAATTCCATAACGTACGGGGAAGAATTTTATCATCTGTGTCGTTGAGTTTTTATTTATTTACCTACCAAACCAATAATTTTAAATAATTAAATGAAAAAACAAAAATATGTTCTTAAACTAATTAATTTTAATTGTATATTTATGATATCACAATAATATAAAAACAACGACAAAGATAAAGTACTTACCCATTCGTTGTGGAATTTCGACAATTCTATCACGCATACAGAGGGAATATAATTATATATGTATACATTTGTAAGATGGAGACAAACATGTGGGTGTAGCGTTCTCTTAATAAAATCGTATCCAAGTTTCTGTTTTCAATTTCAAATTTCTGTCTCTGACTACACACTGTTGAATACGTGACAATAACAAAATATATCTTTAGGTATTATGAAATGCACTATAGTTTTAAAGTAGATCATTTCCAACATCATTATTTTATAATTTTTTTTCATCTTTCATCAGTCGTTATTATATTTAATTTTAATATTTATATGTTTTCTCCCATGAACGGTTTTAAATTATAATATGCTGTATTTTAGTTTTAATGAGAAAAATATAAGTATATGAAACAATATGAAATATTTAAACCCACCATATCCATCTATTTTCTTTAAGATAGAGTGTGTCATGACTAGGAGGGTTTGATATTTGTCTGTTATTCGCCTCTGAACTAAATTCATGAGAAAAAAATACCAAGCAATAAAGAATACAAATTTAAAAATAAATATTAGAAATTTTGTGTACCAATATGTTTAAAATATTAAAATATTAAAACATGTAATATTTCTTTATTTTTTATCTTTAAATAGTTTGTAACGCTTTATTATTTAATAAAATATAACTACCTATAATAGTGGTATATAATATAAAGTAAAATAACTTTTTATGGCTGGAAACTAAATTCCTTGTATAGACATTTTTAAACGCTTATGCTTTTATCTTTATGTGTTATTTGAGTGAATAAAATTTAGTCCGACGACCGTCACCAATGTGATTATATTTATGATACAAAATATTTTTTTTAAGTTAATTTTTAGAAATAAAATTATACTAAAAACATTATGCGAAGATTACAAAAATGGTAAAATGTTTTTAACTGCCGTATCACATGGAATACGATATCATTAATATATAGGGTGATTCTTTTATCAAACAACACTTATATGGTGTCCGTGTGTAATACCACCTAACATACACCAATGACGCACAAACACCATCCAAAACCACCCAACTTTGGGAGCCTATTCCTTGTAAACAGATTAACGAAAATTGAAAATTGAAATGTGAAAATTCATTGAAAAAATAGCYTTTTTAGTTTATGATATTTTAGGTATAGGTTGTCATTTTAAAATCAAAAGTTGATAATGGCGGTTTACCTGATAAATATAAGGGTGAAAATATTTAAAAAAATATATAGTTCTAGAACAAGATGGATCTAAAATTTTGAAAAAAGTCAATAGTTTTTGAAATAATGAGTGTTGTTTGATAAAAGAACCACCCTGTACAGTGTTTCATACCGGTGTTACTAGTGATTAATAATTTTTATTTTTGGTATGATAATAAATTAATAAATGTATTTTAAATTTTAAGTTGTTCTTTTTCCCTTTATATTTTTTTATCAATTTCGTACTGAATTGTATACAATCGACCTTTCCATCACTTTATACTATTTAATTTAAAATTTCGTTAAGTATTCATGAATTCACGATCGATAAATTCTCTGCATATTTATAATATTTTAGGAGTAATTAGTCTTGTATACATTCTATTTATTAAAAAGTGGTGAATATTGCTTTTTATAGTATTTGWAAWCGTATTTTATTATATATTTTAATCATGTTAATATATGGTCGGCTTGCCATTTAAATATAATATTGTATGCSTAATTTAAAGTGCACCTTAAGTRTACTTATCTTAAAAACGTTATTAGTGTATTTAAATATTGTTRAAAATTAATATTATTGAGTTATTTTCCGAAATATTTAACAATGCATTYAATTTTGACTACAAAAATATATAGAATAAAATTTGTGACATTTTGTTCAGTGTTTCTTAAGTAAACTGTTTTATTTTTTCTTGCGTGGAATTATTAAATATTAATCATACGATGATATGCTACTATTAATATTGTAAGAAAATTATTATTATTATTTACTTTTATCTGAAAGTTTTGAATGTTATAAAAAAAATATTATAGTACGGTCATCCGGTGGTGGGATAATAAATTATTTGCCGTGCAATGACGGAGCAATAACAAGCAAAAACCGAGAGTTTTTACAACATTTAATATAATTATATCATTCCTCCGTTGATTTTTARTTTCTTTGACCACCGTGTATGTTTGATTAATAAATCATTTTAATATCAAACTAATACGTGAATAATATTAACACATTTAATAATGTCAAAGTAAAAAAATAAAAAATWATATTTATTATAGAAAAAATTTGATTAACCTAATGGATATTTAAAGTAGTTTAATATAAAATCTGTTTACCTTTGACTATCGAGAGTGAAACTGTTGGCCATCGAAGCTCCAGTGAGGATGACGTTTCCCACAGCATAAACTATCGACAGCCGTATCATGGTTCTGCAAATACGATAAAAAAAAAAAAAAATTAAAAAGTCACAAACGTGAAGGTGTGGCATTAATATAGGCGTGATTACCTACTATTGATTGTACTTACTTAAATTTTCCCCAGTATGAATCGGCCAATATGGCACCAAACAATGGCATGAAATAAGATAAAAATATAAAGCTATGATAGATCATTGTCGACTCATCGTTGGTATAATTTAATATCGATGMCAGGTATAACACAAGGATAGCTGAAAACAAAAATACGAAAATATCGACTGTTTTATATTTTTGTCGACTATAATAATGTAGGAATGACAATAAAATAATAATGTTCTATATGAAAAGCGAAGTATAACTGAAATTAATATCGAGATAATCGATTCGAACCAAACGATGGATGCTCTTTTGACAATTTAACAATACACGTATATTGGTGACCGCTATTTACAAATACTTTTTTAAACTTATAGTCCTCATAATATTATGTAAAAAATGAAAATTTTTTTGCGTTGAGTTTATTCCCTCGCAATTTCATAGAACCTATATTGAAATTTTACTTATATTTCATCCGGTAAAATAATTTTTAAGTATAGTATGTCGAGTACTAGTACTAGTATACAAGAGCCAACTGGTTAGATTCGGCGATATTATTATTTCGTTTTCTTTCTCATGTCTGTACACAATATTTACTTTGTATCTTTAACTATAGGTACAAACTGTATATGATTTATTTCCTTACTTCTAAGTCCATAGTAGTTGAACCTTTCACACAGTTCATTACATACGATAAACCAAACGGATTTTGGAGATTTCTATAACATGAAATAAAATAATTATTAGATTTAATTATACATAATAATATATCTCAGTCATTAATTTTTCAAATATCACAATGAAGTACTCGTATTTAACAAATATAATATACYGAYATATTATATAAAATATCAACATAATRTAATGTTTTATAAACGTCATGAATATAATATGTATTTGCTAAATAATAATTATGACAAATTGCGAAATCATTTTAATATAAGTATTTCCATCCTTTCAAAATAATATTGAAAAAAATACAAAATTCCATCAGTTAAATAAAGTATTTCTGATTTCAATTTTATCGGTTTAGAAAAATTTAATACATAMATTTTTAGCAAATACCACTACAAAAATGTAATTTAATTCACAAATATTAAATWTTACGTGTTATAAATATTAAAATATTTAATCAAAACTAATCGAACGGAAACCAATATTAAAACGTTTACCAAGTCTTATTTTATTATTCTGTATTCTCTATACAATTAAATTATGTAGAAAATGCTGCAGAGTGCCGGAAAGTCCATGTTTTCGATACTGATTCGCAGATATCGGTACGATTTTCACATATATTCTTTTGTAAAGGATATATTTTATTTTTTGAAAAGTAAGATTAATTTTTTACATAGGTACAAAAAAAATGTAACAACGAGGTTGCTATAATATGCTAATGTAATTTACCATCATTCATATAATATTATGCATCGGTGTCACGTGAAACCTAAGTGTTTTGTTACGCGAAATTGGTTATAGGTATATGTATATAGCTTTTGAGTCTAATATTTGAGATAGATATTATTATATCAATATGTATAGTGTTTATTATTCCACCTTTTATTTTTTAATTAATCTTTAGCTTCGGCGCCAGTAGCCATTAGCTTTATTCGTCATTWTTTTCTTATTTATGACAATAATTCGATTACAATAATAATATAGTGAGGGCTTTAGGACTCAAAACTATTATTGTTAGTGTTCCTCTTAAATGTACGAAYTTCTTCATTTCTATGCTCCTGAGGAATAATGAAATGTCGTTTTTTGGATGGTAATCAGGTCCGATTATTCCATCAGGTACTTATTTTTTACTCAATCAAAGAAATATTTGCTAATGGCCCATGTCGCCGAAGCTATAAAGATCAATAAAAAAAAATATATATATATATTTAGATCAATAATTACAATCACACACATTATATTATCAAGTTGTACATTTCAATATTTCACTTGTATGATGTAGATGATTGAAAAATAMAAATAAAACATCAGTCTAATGTTTCTTTATATTTTTGCCTGTAGCTACATTAGCGATTGGAGCCTAAGTGCGCTCATTTATGAATTATTAAACATTTTGTTTAGGCACAAAAAAATATTGATAATATTATGTAAAAATTAAAAATGAAAACAGCAGCCGTGCGCTGTACAAATTTATGAATATATATTCATYCATACCCGTGTAWTTGTATGCTATATAGTATATACCGATGAATATAATATTCAGCAATGAGCACACATCATTTTAAGAAACTTCCTCGTTTTTACATATTATTATCTTCGTTTGAAACGCTTATTACCGTTTACATAGATTTATATTAGAATCACTTTGTATTTTTTCAAAAACGAAAAAAAAAACTAAGAAACTATWATGCTTTTTATAACCTAGAAAGTATTATGATTTTAAACAAAGTATAGGTACAACTTTGAACATGATCGACTACCTAAATGTATCAACAGACTATAATAGTTCTCTTACATGTTGTCAAATGCTGTATGTTCGAAACACTCGTTAGGTAGGGACTGTTCACATGGATTTTTAATAGAATTACATTGAGAAAARAACGATGATTCTTATACAYACTACTACCGATACCCTAGAAAATATTAACATTTTAGACACGATCAACTTAATTTATGTCGTATACCTGATTTGAATATTTATTTCGCGTCAAGCATAATCATTGTGCTGTACGGCGTGCGATCAATTTGTAATTAATTCTGTACGTTTCCAGTACGTAATCAAAATCCTAGTTGTATCAACCCTAAACACGATTAGAAAATTGCGAATCACAATATTGCACACGCATCCGCTGACATGGTTACTATACCTACAGGTATTTATCAAAATGTGAAAGGTATAAAACGCAAAATCCTTTCGACTTTCAAAGGGTAAACATTTATCTCACGTGGTCATGAAAGGCTTGTTGATCGCCACGTGGTTGGCAGGGGGCTTGGGCGTGTATTCAAAAATAAGCGTTAAGCACACACGCAGATGATATGCCTCTATAATAATCTCTACCCATACTTTCATGTTACATAATATGCGATGTATTTGGTCTTAAAAATATTACAAAAACCATAAAAAAAAAAAAAATATACAACACTAAATAATGTGTCATATTATTATATACTTGCCAATTTTTTTGCGGTTGGTTCCATTATGTCGCAGCTTACAATTTCACACTAAGTRATTACTAATTATTATTGAAATATGATTGTATTACAACGGAAGGTATTAAAATAGACGGCGGCGGCAATGACGTTGTTGAACTCGGGTGGGCTATACCGATCGCATTTGCCTATATATAATATTACAGAAGTCGTTCGCACTTTTCCGCACGATTGCTCGTTCGAATGATGGTTTTTAAAATTATTTAAATTTTTTTTTTCATCACATCTTTGAGGGTAATCAATCGAACGTGCTTAATTATCGTACACTCTTATCAACTATCTATCTATTATGATTATTTTTATTTTTACCGGTGACGATCCGAAATCACACGMTCACATGCACGTGTTAACCGGCGGAATAATACTCGAACACTGAACTACCTAATTTTAGTCGAATCCCATCCGAGTGAACGACTCTATTAAAACATTAAAACTACACGATAATAAAAACATTATAATATTCTGATAATATAGTGTAATTAAGTTAAACTGCACGAAATTTGCGTTTCACTGTTTAATAGTAGCACGTTTTATAATAGTTTCAACGATGACTCGGCCGCCTCCCCACCACTAGGCGTACCGGACCGACGGCATTTCAATATTTATTATTATTAATAATAATAATAATAATAATATTGTTGTCGTKTTTACTACACAGTGCAATTCGGAATCACAGTGTTGAGTTCCATTTTCTATTATTATATTCTCTATGAAAAAGTCTACGCGTGGACGACATATTATTATAATGTAATTTATAATAAGATCGTGTCCATGTGCGACGGAC